ATTGATCAGTCACTAATTACATTAAAATTAAGACTGACAAATAACTTTACACAAAACAAACGCTGAGAGCAAACAAAAAACCAACATCACTAATCGTTGATAGATGTAAGAATCAGTATGATTATAATTGTACACACATGCGTGTCTTCCCTGACGTCAAGTCAGTCATTAAAGTATCTCTCTTTCTCGAAATCACCCCCCTCCCATACTCGATTTTGTTAACAAGGGGGGGGGGCGAAATTGGGAGACAAAATTAATATTTATTTTGACAATAAGAATAACCTCCCCTTTCAATCTAAAATACAGACTAAACTGTTTCCCACTCCTAAAGAGATATATATATAACTTAATTTGATAACATTCTTTCTTGCTGAATTAGCTGGGCTGATGAACATTAATATGAAATATATGTATGTATTATAAATGTCTGTTGCTCTTTCATAACGTGAAAACTGATATGTTTTCATTCACGAAAATGTTTCAGAATTTGAGTACGATTTCCTGTGTTCAGCTAGACGTTCTACTTATACTCAGCTTTGAACAGAGCTAATCCTTCTTTTACGTTGTCACTCATGATCAGGTGTGTTTGTCTCTGAATGTGGCCAGTACATCCGTAATTACACTTTCTCGACGCCTAGCGCGCTATACATGGACAGAAATAGAAACACAGAAAAGTCTGGTATTTTTTTATTCAATAATACTACAAAAATACGTTTCGAAAGTCTTGAATTGACATATCACTGCATCTATATTTCTACTTTCACTCATGAGATCTTGCTTGTTTGTATTTTAGTGCAAATTTATACAATGTGCTATTTAATCTATGACCGCTACTGGGAATCAAACCCTGGATTTTAGTGTTGTATGTCCGTAAACTCACTGGTGACCCACCAGTAGACTCGTGAGTTCTTAAGTTTTAATGTAGTACCCAGCAAAACTTAATCAGAAGTAGCTTTGTGACAGAATTTCACTGGTTGTAGTTTCACGCAGATGTCTCGTCCTCGTTTTCTGTAATACGCGCAGTGAAGCCAACCATAAGTTCGAAAAGAAGTACATACCTTGCAGGTTGCTTGTAAACAAATTATTACCTTTATTTTAAAACCAATGTACCTTTTTAGTATATTTTGTTTTTAGTCAAGTTTCGCATATTCAAACTGCATACGTTTCCTAGAAACCACTTGTTATTATGGTACTTGACTTACTCAACTTTAAACATGTTACAAATACAGCTCGAGTATTCAGTTCTTAGCTGGTCATAGAATGAAATTCGTTACCCTATATAAGCAAATGTGCTTCAGATACTTTTGTTTCTTCTTGAATAAAGTATGTGTTTAGAAGTCGTGATTTTTTTAGGTTAATTTTTGTTGTAACTATGTAAATGCTTTGGCTATTTTTGATAAACACTAAAAATTAATAACCATTAACGATCTGTCTTAGTGCAGCAAAGATAATATAAAAGTATTCTAAAGAACTATAAAATACAATTAAAATAACAGCAACTGTTTCTCATATAAAACACAGGAACTTAACCATCAAATACCAAAACAACTTATCATAAAAAATATAGATTACGTAACTAACTGAAAAAAATAATGTTTTCATACTTGGAACATACATTGTGGTAGTTAAGTTGTATACTTTCTCATATAAGACAAAAAAAAAGTGATGCATACTATATCAACATGTATATAGAAGCCGAAACGTCGTTCCCTTTTTATTCAACAGGCAGTTGCGGTCCATTAATGTTCTCAAACCTACTCTGTCTAAAGTTCCACTGAAACAACATCGTGTATATTTATTCATGTTTGTGAATTTGTTTGTCCGTGAACTTCTTCTGGAGTTAGTAGGATCAATCTTGGGGTGACCGGCGTGTCCTTATCTATATGTCACAGACCCTCTATCAAAGGTGTGCTAAGGGAGGGGGGATAAAACGCGCCCGAAAGGTTACCCATGCATAATGGTGTCTAGGAGTAGGTTTTCAGAGTCGCTGAACCCAAATCTGGTATCGGGGTTTGTATTGTTGGCCCCTCCTCAAGATTCTGGGAGTGCCATGTGTGAAACTGTGTTTCTACACTACTCACAAGCTAACGGCACCAAATGTGGCACACGTGCTCAGGTATTATGGGCGGGTGTCCTAAGAGGGTCTGTTTTCGGGTACGAGCCCCACTTATGGTTGTTATAGAAGTAGCTGGGAATAATGAAGGAGGTCGACTGGTACATTGGGGTCTCTTTGAATCATGAGGGTGACTTTGAATCCCGCAGTGGAGCCAGTTTTTTATTATTATTATAAATTATCATCTTTGTTTCAATGACTGCTTACTTGTTTGTAAGTAGAACTACAACATCTTCAAATTATAAAGAAAATAACCATTTTTGATTTTATAATATATTTGTTAACAAATTTTATAATCCTCTCGATAATTTAGCAGTTAATCTAAGGGTTTATATATATCTCTAGAAATCGGGTTTCGACACCTATATTGGGTACAATCCAGACGGCTCATTGTGTAGTTTTGCTCTTAACAACAAACAAATTCCTTTAAAACATTACATTTCAGGCCACTTCTGAAGCACGAGTACCTCTTAACACTAGACGTTTCTTAAACCTACGTGCATACAAATAAAATAAAACAGCCATGATGCTAAAATTACAAAAATTATCTTGTTAGTTATTCATTCGGCACAAAGCTAAACAATGGGCTGTCTGCACTATGCCCACCGCAATTATCAAAACCCGATTTTCTAACCTTATAAACCCTCAGACTTACAGATGAACCACGGGGGCTGTTCTAAAGAAGATATTTTCGGTTTCATGGTTGTATATTGAATTTCTGAAACCGAATGTTCTTCCATTATATAAAATACAACAATTTTATAAAAGTAACAATATGAAGTGTCCTCCTACTTGTCCCTAGTAGCACAGCGGTATGTCTGCGGAATTATAACACTGGAAACCGAGTTTCGACACCCGTAATGGGCAGAGCACAGATAGCTCAGTGTGCAGCTTTGTGCTTAACTACAAGCAAACCCACCTCCCCCACAGACCTGGTTCCAGGCTTTTTGTAGCTTTGAGTAAAGATACTCGTTACATTGCCTCTTAAGTCTTAGTTCAACTTCATAGGTTTATTTGTTTGTTTAAAGTTAAGCACAAAGCAACACAATAAGATATCCGTGCTCTGCCCACTACGGGTATCGAAACCCGGATTCTAGCGATGTAAGTTCGCAGACCTACCGCTGTGTCACTGGAGGGCCAACTTTATAATGACAAAATATTTTTAAAAATTAAGTACCACTCCAAGCACCAGTATTGTAGTGACGAAAACATACTCTGCTGAAAACTACTTTTTGTCTTTCCGGGTTGCACATGCCTTAGATTTTCACACGTAACATCCATAGTTTACCAAAAATGTACATTTTAGAAACTTTCAGTGTAATATGTTTCTACAAAGCAATTTTATAGTGGGTACGAAAAAGTTGCAAATTATAAGATATATCAGCTTTTTAAAATATTTTTCTTGTTTTGGTTATGGTATCCCATTTTTTTAGGTTGACAAAGCAATATATATATATATATATTTATTTATTTATATATTATAAGATATATATGTGTTTTTGGAGAATTGATCATGATATATATATATATATATATATTTATAGATTTGTTGTTTCAGGGATTTTGAAAATTAATATCCTGGTGGGTTTGGTAAATGGGAGTAAATTATTATAATACTTTTTTAAAGTATTAGGTTGACAAACTTTCCAGAGCCCCCCAGTGGCACAGCGGTCTTACAACGCTAGAATCTGGGTTTCGATACCCGTGGTGGGCAGTGCACAGATAGCCCATTGTGTAGCTTTGTGCTTAATAACAAACAAACAAAAACTTTCCAGAATGTCTGATTCTAACTTTTTTGAAGTCACTAATCTCTAAAATTTACACTTTCATTTTATTTGTATCAGCAACACTTTATGAATATTTAATAACGCGTTATTTCTTTATTATTGTCTTATTTCTTACTTTATTTCATACATTCAGCTAGTTTACTATTCAAAGAATAGCTAACTCTTGAGGTTAAGCCTTTTTATTTTTTACTATTTCTGTACACTAGGATTACCTGTTAATGTACAATACTGGAAGTCGACTGTACAGGAATGCGGCCTATACTTCAAATCTTGTTATGAGTGTCAAGATAATCTGGATACAGTTTATTTTGACAGTGTGTTATGGTGATACCTTTTATTATGTAATATGTAAATGAAAGTCAAAGAAGCATGTTGGTTATCAAGTTATAAACAATATCTTTGTTTTTAACCTATGCATGCTCAGTTTTACACTAATCAGTTTCTTGAACCCATTTTATTCAAAAAATAATTGTTATCTGGAAAAATCTTAAAGCATCGAGTCATTCCTGAAATACTGAAGAGTATACTTTACTTGTTTAATGTTAAGTTATTCTTTGAATTCAATAAACAAATCTTTGAAAATCCATAATACAGCTTTTACGCATAATAAATATTCGTTATATTTAAAAAACAAAGATAAATCTTTATAAAATATATTCATTTAAATAGCATCAATCAACTTATTAAAGCTGGGATTTAAGTATGGATGATTTCAAAAATAAAATGGATACATCCTTCTCCGTTTCTTTGAAGTATTTATCATACTGTCAAATTTTTTTCTTTCATGTGTTTCTTTTTCTAAAGTATTGTGTTGTGGTTTATAGTTTATAATATTTTAAATATATCTTTATTTTTATTCCCTTTATTACGTGAAATATTAAACGTCATTTAATGCCATACCTTAAACTGTTGTAATCGATGATACTAATTTCGAAATTATGTCTATGTACAGTTTTGTACACTGATTGATAATATTGTCTACTTAGTTTATTCGAATTTCTCTGTTATATGGAGGCTGCCATTTTACCGGAGTCAGAAATTGACACGTGACAATCATCATCCAATCCGTGATGTTGTCACTCAACTCCCTTGTTGTTCCTATCCGCCATGTCTGTCGCCATCTTCTGGTGAATTTTAGCTATATTACGAAATTTTCCGAGATTTATGGCTCGAGAAGTCACTTAAAACTTTCATCCAATTTCTAATGAAACTTTAAGTCATGGAGTGACCATGACGCACCCCAGTTTCGTTACAAACGGGGCGAGTCTCGAGGACTGTCATACGAATTTCTTTGCACTGGTAAGTATGCAAGTATAGTAGTAGTCTAGTAAAGTAGTAGGCTTTAGAAGGTTAGACTCAGACGTTATAGAGGGTTTGGCCGTCGATTGCTTATGATCTGTTAAGCCTAACGCTGTATTAGAGCGACAATCGCACAGTAGTATGTTACGTAGCTACAGATGTAGATAGAACTAGTAGTAGAAGTGTTAGCTGTAATAGGCTCAGCAAGCTTTATGTTTGAGCGTCTGTAGAACACTAATATTATTGATATACACATGTTACAGCTAGTTAACTCATGGTTCAAAGTGATTTAGATTATTATTTCAAGCATTGTATATGAGTATCAATATTATCTAAGTTAAAATACTTTTGTTAATGCGGTATATTATAACTAAAAAGTATACTATAATTATATTTGAAATTAACGCGTAAAATAGAGTTGGTGGTTAGTAAAAATTGAAATAATAGATTCTTATATTTATAGTTGTAAAATTCTTATTATTGTATAGTGGTAAAGCTGAGTCTCATTTCGTGTGGTCCAACATATAAATTACTTAATGTTGATAAAATTGATGATATAAAAACCTAAACCAAGTTTAAACACAAGATTTGTAACTTTTAATTTATGTTGTTGCTAAGTTCTAAATTGCACTAGTAATAGAAGTAGTTTTTAAGATGTGCATGATGTATAGGGTATTATTGTATGATGCAGTGAAAAGTATATTTCTATGGCAAGAGTATTTTCCCCATTTCATATTTATACTTGCTTTCTTTTGTAGCTTACGATAAATGTGTAAATAAACAGATGTCAAAGCTGTAGCTAACCCTTTATTTAAAGGCAGATGTAATTACCAGAGTTATCTACATACAGTTACTAATGTACATACTGTTGTAAGTATCAAACATGGTACACAAGTTATTTGAACTATTAATACTGGCATTGCTTTTCTAATTCATGTATTAATTACAGTTGGTTACAAAAATTTGACCTTTATGAAATGTTATATGCAAACTTCCCATTTTAGGTTAGCGACATAAAGAATTGTATGTGTCTGATATTAGATTTCTATTAGAAATACATTCCTTAAGTGTAAATAAACATTATATGATTATTTTAATTAACAGGGCCGTAGACACTGTAATTCATTTAAGTAACATCCTCGCTATACACGGATTGTTGTTGTATGACCTGTTGTGTTTTATGCTGAATAATCATTATTTGGTATGGAGTCATGAGGTAGTTATTTGTGAAAAAAACATCATCAGCTAATCTATGATGTGTTTTTGATAAGATGACTTTATGGTTTTTAGCTTTATTATATGTTTTACAAAAGTCATTCAGTCATTATTTTATTGACTTTTTCATAACCTATTATTAAAAATGCTCTATTTCTATTTCTACAGTTAATACTATATTTCTAAGAATTATTTTCATTTAGTTTAAGGATATATTTGTTTGTTTTGTGCTAAATATGTAGAAGTTTGCTTATTTTTTGAAGAACTTTAGTATAAATGAAAAAGTAGACAATTCATCATATTATGGCAGAAAGTATTGTTAACAGAGAGGGTACTCAACTCACGAAACAACTTATTCAAATTTTTATAAGTAAGAATGTAGAACATTATATTTAATTATCTGTCCTCATTACTGGTTTATTTCAGCTCGTATAAAAATGTGACTAAGGTGTAAAATTTAATCACTTTCAGGAAATCATAAAAGAAATGAATTAAATAAAAGTGGGATGATGTTTTTGTAAAACAAATGTTTTATAACTAAAGGCTAAAAAAATGTCCATAGTTCTGTATAATTACTATATATGTATGTGTCTATATATACACTAACTGCATATACTTTTTCCAGAGTATGATAAAAAAAAACCTTCAAACTATTAGTATGGAAAGCAATAATTTGTTTTCTCTAAGTATTAATTTTTTCAAACTTTATTCACTTATGAAACTTAATGTATCTCTCATGGTTTATCTTACACTCTCATTCCTCCAGACTCTTATATTTGATGCTTTGTGGCCTGTGTGATCACTAATTTTAGAATCATCCTTGTATAAATACTTTGTTTCCACCCCTGATATATTAATAAGAAGGTGTAGGTATTAATAGTACTTTTTAAGTGTGGTAATAAGGATGACCATTTTATAATTATTTATTATACCAAATGTACCTGTAAGCTATTAATTATTATTTTGTATTCATTCCAGGATTGTTTTGAATTTACTAATAAAGGTTTAAAAGAAGAGTTAAAAAGTTATGTTTTTGAGAAATTTAAATGAAAGGAAGTCAAACACTTTTTTTTAAGTATTTTATAATTGCACATTATTAATTGTTATTTTCTTAGTTTGGCAGTTGGACTTAATTTTTTTTTTTGTTAGATATATTTTTAATAATTCTTTTCAGTCATGGGACTATGATATTGTTCTATTTTTCTGTTTCATTTATTATTTTTTGTAGCTGTGGTATGATTATGCATTAAAATGTTTGGTTTTGTAATAGAATTTTAAATACACTTATATATATAAATATTATTTTTTGTAGCTGCTGTATGATTATGCATTAAAATGTTTGGTTTTGTAATAGAATTTTAAATACACTTATATATAAATATATGTTTAATTTAGTAACTCTCATTAATTAAACTTATCCACTTTATAATTATGTTTCTTTACAGAATAGGTTAATATTTCAACTGACTTGTCAACTTGGATCAGGATATTAATAGAGACAGAGTCTGATTCGATATTTGGATATAAGCAACTAGACAATAAAATGTTATTGTTTATTAGGATCTTAATATCAGTGTGTAGTTTTTCCTCTATCTTATATTGTAAAAAACATTGGTTCACATCAGACCTGTCAGAATATCGGTCATCAAGAAACAAAAGACGTTAAGTTTATAAACTTAATGCATAAATCTTGATATATGTAAAAATTTAGCGCACACATACATCTGTAGGGAAAGATATGTTTCAAAGAACTAGTAATATCTAATGCACTGTTATTATATTTCCATTTACAGGCCCAGTTAAGAGTGACCTCATTAATGACACATGTAGGCCAAACAGAATTAGAACAGTGACATACTTTCTCATATTTCGTTTTCATATCAATATAAGACATTTCATATAGGCGGCGTACTTATGGTATCTAGAATGTAAGATATGTCAATCACTTTTATTAAAGACACCCGTATTTGTTTATATATATATTATCGTAGCCTAAAGGTGAAACAACTTGTTTGTAGGTTTAGACGTAAGAGATAAGTGGTGAATCTGTCGTATATGTGAATAGTTAATCACCTTAGAAGTACCCATACATGGAATTAAACTGATGATATTGTGCTCTTTGTATTCGATGTCCATGTTTTGAGACTGCGATACTTTCCGTTTGTCATTAACTTAGCGAATGTTATCACTTAGGATACGATAACGTAGACTTTGCTTCAATTACCACAGGCAACCACATAAGCTCTCAGATGATTATTTAAGTGTTTATACATTTAAGAAGAACGTACATAAAAAGATTGTAAATATTTTGATATATATAAAAATATGTGATCTTTAGTGTCAATGCTTTTTTAACATGAAGCTCATACTAAAAAATGCATTATTCTGTCTCGGAAGGTTAAAAGCCGGAGACGAGTTGTGTGATGGCGCATTTCACAACAGCTGCTGCACAGATAGAAGTGTAGAGTTGGGACGGTATGTGGTTATCTAGTTTGTGCCACCCGTTGTATCTGCTCTTCTCCAGACAGGAGTTGGTTCAATTAGTACGACGACCCAGGCGCTACATCTAGATTGGTTTTACATATTCTCTGATCTCACTTGAGTTTAAGTTGTAACATCCGGAAATTAGTCTTGATCAAGCTTTCACCAGGTTGTGTAACAGATACAGATATTTCTGTCTGGCTTTAGAATAAATTAATATATATATACACACACCATACTTTATGTATTATATTTTATTTCAATTTTCCTTTATTGTACGCTATTTTAAAGTGCAATTTAGGAGTGACCTTGAAAGAGGTAAACGTGTGTATTTTTCCTTTATCTATGTCGTACAACTTGTGCAGGTGGTGGCTGGTGGTCAGGACGTTTAAAGTTTTTGCGTTCTTGAGGTTATCGGCCAAGAGGCTTGAGACAGCATTAGTGTAGCGGTATATTTAATGAATTGAAAACAGTTTTTCAGAAATAACTGTTTATTACATATTATTTTAGTTTCAATTTTTAGTTTCATTCTCTAATTCACGAAATTGGATTTCTTAAGGCAGTTTAGTATCGCTAAACACATCAGCTTTACTACAGTTACATGGAAGTGTCCTGCTGGAATTTTTGATAAATTTTCAACATCCACTTTCGTATATACCTTCATTTACGTGTAAATGGACCCGTTAGATTTTTTGATAGTTTTTTCAATAGCATTTCTCTTCAATCTTCATCAGAACATTCAAGTTAAGGCTTAGATCTGCTGCACAGAAATGTGTTAATGACACAGGCCTGCGAATTTAAACTTTATAAAAGTTGTTTTGGCTTTAATAACGGATTTTCCATAATTCAGCTACGCAGGTTTTGAAAGTGATATTCTTTTCTTTTCTATCACGTAAAGGTTTTTTACAAATCGGGAAGAAGAAAAACTTAATCAAATTATTATTTCGTTTATCACAATGAACATTTTTTATTATTATAATACAAACAAACTGCATCCTCATTCATCCTGATTTGTTTTGTGTGAAATCTACGCATTTTAGCCTCAAAACTACGTGTTGTTGTGGTCTTTCTTTTACGTATTGCGTTATGATGTTTTGTGAAAAATCGTACGTGATGGAGAAAAATGGATATCATTTTCGGATTCAGCGTACAGAAATTGCTGTAGAACATGTAAACATTTCAAGACAATAAAACCTTCGCTGACCTGTGCAATTTTTAACAACAACAACAATATATATATATATATATATCCTGTTAAAGTTTCGAATAATTGTGCTTCTAAATGCCACATTTGTATGAAAAAT